GAGTGAAATCGGTCAACCAGAAAGATAAAGAACGGATCCACGAGACAATGAAGGGATCCGGATTGGAGGCTCGAGTCTGGTAAGCCTATCGGAAGAAAGGGGTTGGGGTAGATAGCAAGTGTGATGGGGCCACAAAAGGGCACAAATTTTGACGAGTGGAATGTAAACAAGTGAGAAGTTGTGATAAGGCGGCAATGGGATAATAGGGTAAAGAGTAGATAGGCCAGGACAGAAAGAAAAGTGATAGTGCAACCGTTTTCGGCAGAACGTTGGTGGAAGGATTGATTTCACTTGTCTCTTTGACGAGTTCGTAGTTTGGTGCGTAGAATGAGAAAACTCACTGATGATGCCGACTAATGTACCAAGTCCACTGTCTGATGCTGGGAGTCATGACAACTACTATGGCAGACGACTTCGGACTAGGTACGCTCTACTAAGTCGCCCTGACAACAAGAGCAAGTTGCGACGACGAGGTCAACCCACTTCTAAGAAATTCATTTCATGTGGAATTGTCTCTTCAAGTTATCTGACAGGAGAGGCGCGCTGGAGCCGATTTGGTGCAGACCTTGTTTGATGTTGCGCCGATGATACGTTTTTTCACGGAGTCCACGATCCACAATCTCAAGAGTTGGCTAGGGCAAATCAGCCGTTCAAGAAGCATTTTGAACATGAAATCGAGATGTACTTCTTTGGTATTCTATCTTTTGACTATCGTCCTCTTTGTTGCAGCCAAGGAGAAGGGTAGTGGATCCCTTTTTGAAGAAGCTATGCTGACCTCGGCACCTCTACCAGACGTAAAGAAGACAACGATCAGGAGTCGCCGAAGCATACCGAGGTCCTCGTTCTCCAATCGTGAAGGCCATCTTGAGGCTCTTTGATCATTGTGCCATGTGAACGAAAGAACACAGCCACGAGCGAGGGAGGATATATCTTACGTGTTGCCGATAGCATGACTGAGAGCTGGGCTAGCACTTGCCCAGGACCTGGGCCTTCATTTACCAACAGTTGCAGTCTCGCAACAATCTTAGACTTTGCACCATCGTTGTCTTTGATTCGTGTGATTGTTTGTCTTTGACCCCGGTAATAGTCTTGGTGCAAGGGGTCAATACCTCATGAGCAGTCTCAGTGACATCTTCTGGAGATTTACCTCTGGCAGCCTCTGAGGCCAGATGTATCTCAATCGGGCTACTGTAGGATAGGGTCAAGGTCGAAGGAGGATCTATCAATCTATCGAAGATGAACCAGTAAGACTGAGAGTCTCTGGCTTCCCACAACTTCTGATTCGAGCAAAATTTCCGTCTTCTGTTGCTTTGAGGAAGAGACAAGCTCGATCGTATATTTAAATTGTTTGACCTTTTTTCGCAACCTGGTCGTATTGTCAGGAAGATCTGGAGGAAAGCACCTTTAGGTCGTCCTGACAATACAACAAAGTTGCGAAAACAAGATTAAACAATCTCTATATAATGAAAGGAGACTATGGTTGTACTACAGGTCATACCATCTTGGTCTTCATACTTTCGATGGTATATTTCCTGATTGTTGTGAAGAATTTCATTTCGTATGGAAGTGCCCGGTAAAAAGATGCGTTGGTTGATTTCACCAGAAGATGAGTGCTGATTCGCGTTGTACTGCAACCATTTGTCATTAATACAGCATTCGGGTTGATACAGTCCACGGACATCCTCCAACATTTAGGGCAAATACGAATGTTCGTCTTGCCACGTGACGAACATCGGCAGAGCTGAAACTCATTCTTGCAAAAGTCTCATTTCAGGAGAGTTTTCGAAATCGGCATTTTATTAGTACCTATCTTCGGGGTATCTTGTAGTCATCCGGTCCTCATTTGGTCTTCAGTAAATGTTTGCCTAGGTTAATGATGTCGTCTGGCAGCTGCTCGAAGGCGATGAGCAATTTAGTCTCAGTTCTTCCGATTCAGGTTGCTTCGAATACTAAGTCAGTAAAAACCGGGCATTGGCGTTGACGGCACCGGTTAAGGAAGTATGATAGCTTCTTACTAGGGAAAAGGTTGGCCATCTTCTATACTTGACATAGTGACGTTGCCAGCACGAAGAACCAAGAAAGAGTTGAGCGGAAAAGCATCATTTTTGTGATCCAATTCAAAAATATGTGCTGCAATGTACGAATACCCAACCGAATCGAAGCCAGGAGACGGGATCACAAAGGATCTTCTTTTTATAGCGCAGAATTTAGTTAATTTTGGAAGTGAAGTGTTTAAGTTGGAGTGTAGCGGCAGGATGTAAGGACTATAGCATAAGCGAGGAGAAATCCTCGTCAAGCGGAAGAGGGTGCCATGTACTTCGTTTTATCACTTTCTTCTTAATTAGTTAATCATTTGACTTGTGTTTATGAGTGTGTTGTGCATGTGTATCAATTTCTGATTGGATCCTCTCGGCTACCTGATTTGGCGTGATCACTCAGGTAGATCCAATTGGAAGCTCGTGTCCTCACGTCGTTAGCCCTGCTAAAGGTGGTCTTTTTGCGGAGTGAGATGGTTGTGGGCAGAATGCAATGCACTGTAAGGAGGCTAAGACGGCTTTAGAACAAGTCACTTCACGCCTTTGTTAGCTCCACCAAAAAACTGTTGATCAAAGAAATGAAGACCAAGATTGTGTGGTTTTTTGTATGGTCTCAGTCTCCTATTGTTGTATAGAAGTTGTTTGATCTGGTTTTCGTGACTTGGTCATATTGATGAGAAGACCTGGAGGAACTCACCTAGTCCGGAGTCCATAGTATGAATGATAATTTCCATAGTCGGATCGTGGACGTGGTATATTCCCAGACGTTTCGCTGGCATCGTCAGTGAGCTTTGCCACTCAGCACCACACTAAAACGCGTCAGAGACAAGTTAAGCTAAAAATTGTGGTATCTCTCCTGACCTGGGCTATTCACCAATCCTATATTCTCGTATCACGCCTTCACTTTCACAATTTCTTATTCCCATGTGGCATGGTGTGCCCTGTTTTAGCGAATTTTATGATAACTTTCTAAACCCTCGCTGGCTTTCTCATCCCCTCACCCTGCAATCATCTTCCCATAGGTCTTATCATAGTCTCCTTTTTGTCCCGCTTCCTACCTTCCGGCTTCACATATTTCACTTGATCCCTGCCACCATTTCTGTACTACTCGAAGCGTTATTTCCCACACTGCCTCAAGTCCTTAATGGCATGCATACTCTCGCTTCTCTGAGTAGGCCTCTTAGAATCAAGATTTTCAAACTGGATGGGATACTAACTTGAGGGTAAAGACTCCGAGTAATTATCATGGTCAGACCTTTGCTTCATGGACCACGTCTTTGGTAAAAGAGACCTACAGTCAACCAACTAGCTCTAATCTCCGCCACATCTATCGTGCTTCTATCGATAGTGTCAAGTCTATGATTTTATATGCCCTAGTCTTTTGTAGATATGAAGAACAAGATGGTGCGGCCTTCTATTTGGTCTCAGTCTCTTTTGGCTTTATAATGTTGGTTCGGCCTTGCTTTCGCAACTTGGTCGGAGCGTCATATAGACCTTGTAGAACGTACCTGGTCCCGTGTCCTCTGCCATAATATTCTTGATTTCTAGCATTGCACCATTGGCTGGGTACATTCCCAAACGTTTCGCCGGCGCCATGGTAAGGATAGAATTACAACTCATCAAAATGACAAGTCCTTTTATAAGTTGTAATTCTATGCTTGAGATGCCGGCGAAACGTCTGGGAATGTATCACGTCCACAATCCGACTGGAAATTATCATGCATACTATGGACTCCAGACTAGATCCGTTACTCTAGGTCTTCCTGTCAAAATGACTAAGTTGCAAAAACAAGATCAAAAAAACTTTTAAAATGTTCATCATTTTATTTCTTTGCGTTTTTGCTTAGGCATGCGGAATTGATGTTCGACTTTGTGATGTCGGAGAGATCATTCAGGAGACGATGGAATCCTACGAAGTTGAATTAAACGGCCAGACTTATCAAGGTTAGTCTCTTGAAGTATCTATAACAAGTTTTGGTGTCTAGTAGCATTAATAGCATCTAGTTATAATTATATATATATATATATCTGCTGCTTGTCAGACAGTGTCATCCAAATATTTGATTTCATTACCTTGTTGAGACGGTCTAATCGAGTGCTAAGATACTCCAACCATAGGTCGCCAGGTTATTTATCGATGTGGATTCGTCTGATTAGGATGGACATCTGCGCTTTAGACTGAACAAAATCTGGATGTCTTTTCTTCTTTGTTGTGGCTTCGCAAAATCGAGATTTACCCAGTCCAATAACTTTTCTCCGATTCCATCTCCTAAATGACCACCCCCCTACTTGACTTGTAGGTTAGAGAGATCCTTTTGACTCAGTGAGCACTAACGTATCTACGAATAATTGTTGGATTTAGGACATTATCTTGTTACAAAATTGCCAAACTGTTCAATTTCATGAGAAAGTTGTTGATGATAAGTTTCAAAGATCGACGTTAGGCTTTAATGATACTAATTTTTTTCGTTTTATAGGCAGATTTTCGAGAATACCAGTTGATCATAAATGTGAAGTGTAGTAATCCTAATTTGTTTAATGAGATAAGGAAACTGTTAGTTGAATTTTCCTACACTTTTATGAGTAGACATTACATTTTTATTGAATTTACGTAGCTTGTCTTTCACAAAAGATATTCTCATCCAGACTGGAGTGGACTGTAGTTTTGACCTCACCTAAACTTGTCTCGCCAGCAACCCCGGAGAGACTCGAACCATAATAATGCAGCGTATTATCTCTACACGTTAACCACTACGTCGCACAGTCGCGAGTGCCCTTGGGTTACAGGGAAGATGTGAATTTCAAGGAAGGCCAAGCATTTTTTCATATTTAAAATTCAATGGAAACGTCAGCTCTACTCATATCATTGTGGAAAAATTCAATTAACATTCCTTCATCACCTTAGATGAAATAGAGTGAATACTTCTCATATAACTGATTTATTGGTAGTCTCGAAACCATACTTATGAACGAAAACCCCAATATTTGCTCATAGATGAAGCCGTTTAACATGAAATAGGTAGTTCCCATTGTTAGGTTGAGGAATCATGTTAGAGACTCTTCGGATTTGCTTTGCCTCCAGGAAGTCGTCTTCTCTTTTCAAGATCTTCAGTATTGTCGTGAGTGATCTTTCTCCTTAGATGTTGGTGTACATGGACTGCACTTCCAAAAGTTCGTTTCCTTCCAAATTGGTGCCTTCGATTCTTTGGCAAAATTCGTATGAGTTCTTCACTGTATTCGATAATCTGTCATTCACTTTCTTTAATATTTCGCAGATAAATTTCGTCAGTTTCTGTGTCGGTCTATGTTTTTTTTGTTTATAATCAGTCTTAATTGTCTTCATTTGTTTACCTTTGACAAACCATATACTACTAGGGCTCTTGCATCCTTTCGTACGAGTAAGTTCATTATCCATCTGTCGATTTCCCCCTTCGTGTTCATTTCATTCAGCATTTCTTGCGGTGCCACTGATTTTAACTGTTGGGTCTCTTGCTAGCAGTCGATAAGTTGTAGTGTCCCTGAGAATATTTTACATTTTCTGTGTACATTCCTTCCTGTCCCTCACTATTGTGGCACCTTTGTCGGCTTGTAGAACGACTTTTTTGAATTCTTTTATATCTTGTTTATATTGTTCTTATCAGTGGATTCTTGATGCACCAAGATTGCTGGGATGATTTTCATTTCCAATCCTCTTTGACTCTTCCGGTAGCTTTTTAGAGTTATTTATCGCCTTCACCAAAATGTCCTTGATTGCCTTCCTTTCATTCCGAAGTAAAAAATTTAATCCTTTCTTGACGATCCCCGTGGTTTTGTGGTCGAGAGGGACGGAAAGCAGATTCACT